GTGGATTGAGTTGCTGTGATTCTGAGGGCTATACCACCGGTGTTTTGGATAACCAGCAGGGTCACCCATGGTGGAAAGGTTTCAGATGAGCTACAAAACAAAGTGCATCTAGACACCTATCCAAATACACTCCCGTCCCTGTGAGCCTGGCTGTATCTGTTGTGTCCTTGTATGTCTGTGGGTTGAATTTTATTCTGTGTCCATGTCACTGGCTCTGGGTGTCCAGGTTTGTCTGCTGTATCTGATAGTGTGTCTGTATCTACTTCACATGGATTTGTATCTGGTGTGTATGTGTGTGTTTGATTCCAACTTTGACCATGGTCTGGCTCTGTGCACCAGGTCGGCCTAGTTGTTCTCCTCTAATGTGTATCTGTATCTCAGAGTGTTCCCTGTGTCTGAGTATGCGTGTGATTCTGTGTCCAGGGGTCTCTGCGTCTCTCTCTGTCAGGTCCTGGTCTAAGTGTGTGTTCCTGCCCTTGCTGTCCCAGCCCGGGGCCCTGTCCGCTCCTCCAGGGGGCACCCTTGCACGGCTGCCACTCCCTCTTTCCCTCCCTCAGGCTCCTGCCCCCTGGGTGCGTCCCAACAGGCGGGCGTGGTCCTCAGACTGGGCAATGGGTGGCCTGTCAAGCCCTCCTGCGCGGCTCCGCCCCGCCCCGCCCCGCCCCGCCCCGCCCCGGCCCGCAGCGGGCTATAAGTTAACGCCACGCTCTGTCTCCGTACTGCCAGCTACTAGCGGTCCCTACTTGGAGGATCCCGCCGCCAACTGGAGAAACCACCACTACCGCCTGCCCATGGCCGAGGGTAAGTGTCGGGATCAGCGCTGCCGCCGCTCCGGGACCCAGGGCCTGGCCGTCCCTCCCTGGTCTCAGCGGACCCGCCAGCTCAATGGGGATCGGGATTCAGCCGGGCTCAAGGCATAAAAGTCCGATTTGGATAGCAACAGGCGTTCTAGGCTAGATGAATACCTCCTGAGTTCCAGTCCCAGAGCTGTCTGAAGTCTCAGTTTTCCCATCCTCAGAGCGTAACGATGAACCCCAGCCTCCCTGGATCGGATGAGGCAATGGAATGAATGTAAGTGCAGGCACATGTAAACTGTAAAGCGCAGACCATTGTCGCTGGTTCCCAGTCAGTGTGGACAGAGTCCCTGCTGTGTCAGGTGTCACAAAGCTACTGACTGCTGGCCTGGCCTCTGAACACTTACCTTTTGTTAGTCCCTGCCAGGCGGGACAGGTTGACCACGTCGTCCCTGGTCAGGCATACAAGCTAAGCCTGACTGACCGCTAGATCCAGAGTGAAGTTCCAGCATCCAAGAGAGGAGTTGTCTGAGACTAGGCATAGTTTCTTAGGTCCCTTTCTGCCTTGAAGTTCTGCAACCAATTGTTGAATCTCAGTTTTCTGTCCTGTAAAATGGGGACAATAATGCCAGTCCTGGGTACACTGTAAGTGATGGGTGGAATGGAGTAGAGACTCAAATAGTGTCCTTCCCTCCTCTCTCGCACCCTCCTCCCCTAGACCTTGCCACACAAATAGTGGCACTAAGTATTGGTCTAGGTCCCAAGGGATGGATTTCTACAGTGACCGAGTCCCTGCACTAAGGCTGCTGGGCTCAGGGTTCTAGCTAGCTCTTGGGTCAAGTCCTCTACAACAGCAAGAAGGGCTGAGGGAATCTGGAGAGGCATATAGGAGGACCAGGCAGGGATGAACAAGGGGAATTGTGGCCCAGCAATGCCTGACCTGCCATGTGGTCTCACCTATCCCTTTCCAGGACCCAGCTCCCCAGAATGCTGGGAGGAGTCAAAAACCATCTCCAGGGTAGGTTCAGCAGGGCTACCGACCTTGGAGATGCAGGTTCTGATGAGTCTCCTACTCCTTAGCTGCCGTGGTCACTTCCCACAGGGTCCCACTGACATGGAAGGTCTTTTTCTCAGTGCAGAAATCCTGTGATTCTGACCCCAGTTTTCTGCGCCTTTGGAGCAACTCATGATTCCCAGAAACCCTTCTTCAGACAATAGCTGGAGAAAGCTTCCTGTCTGCCCGAGACCAGAGATTGGCCATTTCTGACCATCTCCCTAGGCCCCCCAGGGAGAGTCACAGTGATCTCTTTCCTGCTTAAGCTTCCCTGAAGTTGAAGTTCCAAAAAGCATTTCCTCAACCGAATACTGCCCAGCAAGAAGTTCTTCTTTGTGACCAGCTGAAGTCTCTCCTGCAGTGATTGCAGGAGGGCTGACTTCTCCTATGCTCTGGACATGCAGAACTCTCTCCTCCCAAGGAGACCAACACCAGACAAGGGGAGGAGGGAAAGGAGGGAGTGGGAGTAGAGAGCAAACTTTGAGAGGAGGGGATTGCCAGTGCAGGCTCCAGAATTCCACAGCCCAATGTTCAAATCCCAAAGCAGCCACTTGCTATGAGACCTGGGGCCATTGTTTCTCCCTCTGTAAAATGGGGATAGCAATAATACCTGTATAAGTGAAGCTATTGTGAGGCATAAATTGAGATTATCCATGTAAAAGCTCTTGCCTTATCACCTAGCACATTTGTGGTTCACTTTTGGGATCTGCCATGTCAGGAGGTGGGAGACCTGGGCCATAGTCTCATTAGAAGCACCAACTTGCTGGGTGACTTGGGCAAATCCCTTCCTTGGGCCTCAGTTGGACCACATGCTCCACACTGGCCCCGTAACTCTGGGAGTCTGCCTTGCTTACTCCCTCTACCTTAAGGTCGTCCCATAATTGACCTTAGCTTTGCCAAGGTCATGAGTTTTGTGTTGTCTGCAGGTCCCCCACCTAGTTATAGGCCCTGCCTCTGTCCTTGTCTCAGCTCCCTCTGAAGCTATCAATTGGCTTTTCATGTATCAACCTCCTGCCTTGGGGGCTTTGGAGATGGAGGCACAGAGAGGGAGAGATACTTGGCCAGGGTCACACAGCAGAATTCTAACCCATGTCTGGAAGACTCCGAAATCCCTGTCTTTTAAAATCCTTTTATTACAGAGAACATTGTACATACATAAAAGTTGAGCGAAGAATATACGAAATCCCTCTGTTCTCATCATCCAGCCCCCATCACTACCTGGCCTTGCATACCTCATGTATTATTTTGAAGTAAACTCCAGACATCATATCAGCTCATCTATAAATATTTCATTAAATGTCTCTAAAGGATAAAACCTCTAAATTCCTTAATATTACCATTAATCCATCACTGTTTACGTTTCCAGTTGTCTTGTGTTGTTTTTGTCATGGTTAGCTTCCATAGAGATGTACCCAGTGATAGAGACCCCGTATACTTGAGATCAAACCATTATGATCCACAGGGGTTTCAATGACTGCTTTTGGGAAGTAGATGACCAGGCCTTGCCTTCAGCTGTCTTACTATATCAAAAAGACTTAAAATGTTTTTGAAAAATCAAGACTGAAAAAATGATCTACACATCTCAATGGGTTAATAGGTCTGTTACGTTCTTTTCATGGCTTTGAACCAGTTTGAACCCTTGCTGAGAATCTGCATTTCCACCCCAGATATACCTAATCAGAATCTACATTTTAACATCACACACACACAAGAATTATCTTGGGATCTTGTTAAAATGTAGATTTTTAAGTCAGTATGTCTGGAGTAGAAATGCAAATTCTCCACAGGGGGTTGAACCAGAATGATTCAAAATCCTGTTTGGTTTTTTTAATCTATATGTTTTCTGTTCAACTTTTTTCTTTCTTTCATTTTTCTTCTCACACATTGTTTGCTCAGAGTTTCTCATTATATAAATGTTGCTTGTCTTGGTGGTGTGTTTAACACTTTTCTGATTCTCTTGTGTTGCCTACAAATTGAAAGTTCAATGTAGAAGCCAAGCCCATGTACAAAGATAAATCAGAAAGTTGTGCTGCTCAGGTTCCATTTGTACACACACAGGTTTATTGCAAACAAAATGTCTTTAAGCATGTCTCTGAGATGGACAAAGTTCTCTCAGTAATGCTCTTGTCTTGATTTCCTTAAGGTGCCTTCAAAAGGGGGGGGAAAAAAAAAGGTTCAGTCAAAACAGTGACTTGTGGGGGGTTCTGCTTGGCCAGTTCAATTCAAGCCAGAGAGGTCACCTCAGAAGACTATGGTAACTCATTTGTGGGATCCCAAAGGGGTAATCCTGATACATTTTCTTGAAGGATGATCATGGGGCTAATTAGGAAGACGTTTTAAGAAAATTGAAAACTGCCGTGGGGAGAAACTGCCAGGAAAGTTGCATCAAAGAATATTATTTTCTGTCACGACAATGGACCTGTTCATTCTTCAATGGTAGCAAATGCTGTCCTATGAGAATTTCACTGGGAAACTTGACCTCACCCACCCTACAGCCCAGATCTTGTCCTTTCAGACTTTTTTGTTCCCAAAATAGAACACTTAAAGGGATACTACTTGAATCTCCCAAGAATGCCCAAACTGCCATTTTGGCCTGGTGCAAATTGAAGAGTGCAGAAATTCTTCAGAGAAAGATTGTTGTCATTGTACTGTGGAGTCCGTTCCAACGCACAGCGACCCTGTGCAGGGTTTCCCAGGCTGTAAATCTTTACAGGAGCAGAAAGCCTCATGTTTCTCCCACGGAACAGCTGGTAGTTTTGAACTGCTGACCCTGAGGTTTGCAGCCCAATTCATAACCACTAAACTACCAGAGAAGGGTCAGAGCGCTGCTTTCAGACGTGTACAGGCCTAGGTAGAGGAGATGTTGGGAAACAATAGCTTCATGTCTTGATATTTTTGTTTAATACAATTTCTATGATTTGCAACAATACTTTTTTACTTACACAGGTAAATAGCCTATACCAAGTACATTTTACCCGAGGGGACCCTCCAATAATGATATCATAATAATTTATTATATGCCAGGCACATACACATACTCATCCAGTTCATGCTCTGACAGTCCTGAGAGGTAGGTCTTAGTGTCCCCTCTTGTGGACAGATGAGCAGATGATGAAACTCAAGCCCAGAAGAGTTGAGTTGCCTCAAGTCAGGTGGTTGAGAGGTGACAGTGCCTTTTTCAACACAGCACAATGAACACCATCACCTGTGATTAGATACATTTGGGCGATTTGGCCCCCACCAACCTTCTGTGTGTGTGTGAGAGAGAGAGTGGGGACCTGGAGGGATGAGGAGAGGAAGGTAGAGAGCAAACTCTGAGAAGAAGGGTTTACCCTCCCCAATGTCCATGGACCACCAGGCCTAGAAGAGTCCCAAAGACCCTGCATCCAGGGAGTGTGGGCATGTTGCCAGGTGTCCACAGCTCACGTTTGTCCCACTGTCTCTGCAGAACTGGTCCTGGAGCGATGTGAACTGGAGCTGGAGGTCAATGGCCGAGACCACCACACAGCCGACCTGTGCCAGGAGAGGCTGGTGGTGCGGCGGGGCCAGCCCTTCTGGCTGACGCTGCACTTCGAGGGCCGTGGCTACGAGGCCAGTGTGGACCGCCTCACCTTCAACGCAGTGACTGGTGAGTACCCCACCCCCCTCCTCTGACTCTGACCTGGTCTGTTCTGTGATCTCATTGTCCCCTGAAAGTGAATGGCGCTGGTCACTACACGCCCCTTTGTCCCCTTGTAGATCCCCAGCAGGCCTTGTGGCACCATTAACCCATTTTTCAGATGGGAGGACTGAAGTCCACAAAGAGGAGCATTGTCACCCCAAATCATCCAGCCTTGTCCCTGAAAACTGGTTCCTGAAAACCCATCATCACCACGTCTAGAGCTCATCTTCCTGCTACTCAGGCCATCAAGACCCTTACTCCTCCTCCCACAGCAGAAACAACTTTCTGATCTCTTATCAACAGTTACTAAGGAGCTCTGGTAGCGTAGTGGTTACGAATCGGGCTGCAAATCTCATGGTCTGCAGTTCAAAACTACCAGCAGTTCTGCAGGAGAAAGATGAGGCTTTCTGCTCCAGTAAAGATTTACAGCCTCGGAAATCCTGTACAGGGTCGCTATGAGTAGGAATCGACTCCACGGCACATAACAACCACAAATCAACAGTTACTACTGAAATCCATACAACCCAACCAGACCAAATTGGAATCAGGCCAAATTGGGTGTGAGTGGCTAGGAGAAAACTCAGCTAGCTCCAGTACTCTGAGTAAACAGTTTTGTGCGGGGGGTTCCTTCACCCAGGCTCAGGAGGATGCTTCGGGCATCCTGAGTTCTAGTGTAGGCTGGGTTGCCTACTTGCTGTGTGACCTAGGACAAGTCGCTTAGCCTTTCTGAGCCTGAGTTTCACTTTCTGAAAAGCACTCATGTTGGATGGCTGTTAAGTGAAATGGGTATTGGCATAAGGTAGTGGATCATACTATGTAGATGTTAGCAGTGGCTGCTGATATTGTTGCAGGGGTTACAGGGATGAGCGAAGGGATGTTGAGGCCCCAGTTGCCCTGTACTCAATTCACAGTATCCAATTTTGTTTGCTGGCTGCTCCTGGGAAAGTGGCTTCAAATACCAAATCAGTTCATTTGACTTATGGTGGGAACCACACCCTCAAAGTCAGCAAAGGGCCACCTGTGAGACTCTGGCCCATGGGTTCAAGAGGTTGTCTCTGAGGTTTCCGGGATCAGAGAGTGCAGCAAGCAGGAACTGCATTGCCTGGCTGAGGCCCGTATTTACCTGGGAGGCTGTTTGATAAGGCTTATCATGGTTTCTGCAGGCTGGCCATGGATATCCCCTCTATCCCTTTCCTCTTCCCCTCCTATTGAGGACACACCACTACCCAGAGGCACCTCTCCCCAACATCCTGAACCCTTGGGCCCTTTCTAACAGAGCAGAGGAGCCCCGGCAAGTCCCTGCGCTTCCAAGCCTCAGTTTGCCCCTCTGTAAAATGGAAGGTTGGACTGAGGCCTGGATGCATTTCCCTGGAAAGAGTAAGGCTTGGGTTGTTTTAAAATGGCAGCAGCCAACATCCATGGAGCGCCTGAATCCTCTCAGCTTGGAAAGAGTCCCATTTTGTAGATGGAAAAACTGGGGCTCAGAAAGGCCATGTCACTGCTCAGGTCACATAGTGAGTTGGGACAAAGTCAAGTTCAAATCCCACAGTGAGGGTTTTTCATTGGTCTGACCCCACAGCAGGCACATTTGCCTGTTCACTTAAGAGCCTTCCAAGCTTCAGTTTGCTCCCCTGGGAAATGAATGATAGGTGAGCTACCATTGGGCAACTGTGGTTTCTTACCATTTTCCTTCTTCACTTATGATGAGCTCAAGGTGTCGCCCTTCTGTTTTCTCTTCCTCCATTTGTCTGGGAAGTTATTAAGGCTCCATGTTCAGGGCTGGGGGCGGCATGCAGCAGCAAACGATCTTACCAGCAGCTAATCTCTGTTCTCCAGTCACCTTATCTCAAACCCTAGCCAACCTGACCTGGCCACAATCCCTGCAGACAGCCACGGGCCTCTGTACCTCTGGGTGGGTGCACATAGTTTCCTGATTCTAGCAACCAAGACCCCCATGGGGGCTGGGGAAACCAGAGAGACAATACTAGGAAGTCAGGCCCCCACCCCAAGGGCTGGCTGAAGACCAGGGCCTGACCCCAAATGTGCGCAAGCCTGAGCCTCACATGGCCTGTGTGGCTCAACATCCAGCCTGCGCCATGAGAGAACATTCTAGCTTGTGACCAGCTCAGGGGAAATGAAGTCCATAGAGAGGAGAAATTTGGCCAAGGTCACTAAGCACATGGCCCCACACCCAGCCGCTGTGTACTTTCTCCCAGAAAGGTTGAGACCTAACAGGCTCTGTTACAGGGTACAGACCACACCACACAAATACCGCCCCTGTTGTGGAAATAAAGCTCTGCTTCCCTCCTGAAGGGGCAGGGTTTTGTGGGTGTGTGGAGAGGGAGTGAGGTCAGCCAGAGGAGTAAAAAGAACCCTTATGAGTTTAATAGAAGCCTTTACTCTGGAAGGTTCCACTCTCCCACCCCACTCTTGCCCCCTGCCACATGGTCTGAAATTGTGGCCAGGCCCCTCTAGGTCTCCAGGGTCACCGCAACCCAGAATGGTCCTCATGGCGCCCCTGGCCCCACAAAGAGTACAGCATGGAACCGCAGCCAAGGAGTTTATAAAGCCAGCTTACATGAGCGGTGGTAGGCAATGTGGGCAGCTTGTCCTCATCCCACCCTTTCGGGCCCCTTGGAAGAAAGAGGTGTGTAAGTGTGGGTGTATACACAATGCTGTCACATGACCAAGAAAAAGGGAAATCTGTTTCCTGACCTGTCTCCCAAGAGTGATATGTCAACAGTGACTATGGCATGGGACCCAGCCCAAGCCTGTTACCATGATGACCAGAAAACTGTCCAAACAGGGACATAGGCATGAACTGGGACCTCCTGGGCAAACTGGGATGTGTGGCCAGCTCATCTTTACTTTCAGCTTTAGCTTCCATATCTGAAAGCAGAGCAGCTGAATGAGGCACTCTCCCCACACCGCTCCAGTCTTCATGATCAGCTATTTGGCCAGAAAATTCTGACAATGTTGAGGATGGCTCACAGTTACTGAGTAATTATGATGAACTATTTAGTCTCTGTTCTGGAGACTCTAGGTGGCACAAATGGTTAAGCGCTTGACTGCTAACCAAAAGATAGGCTGTTTGAATTCATCCAGAGGTGTCTCAGAAGAAAGGCCTGGTGATCTGCTTCTGAAAGGTCACAGCCTTGAAAACTGTGGAGCAACACATGGGGTCATCATGAGTCAGAACTGCCTTGATAGCAATTGGAAGTCTTTGTCCTCAATGCTTTCTAGGAACTATTCGTGACTCCTCAAAACAGCACTAGGAACTGGTGGTGACAGTAAGAGACAAACAGCTCAAAGCTCACAGCCATTGAGTCTATTCTGCCTCAAAGCAACTCTGGGTAGGATTTCCAAGGTTGTCAATCTTCATGGGAACAGAAAGCCTCATCTTTCTCCTGAGGAGAGTCTGGTGAGTTTGAACTGCCAACCTTTGAAATACCAGTCCAGTGCCACCAGGGCTCCTTATAACAACAATGTTGTTGTGAAGTGCTGTCGAGTGGGTTCCAGCTCACAGAGACCCTGTAGAGGGTTTCTGAAGCTGTGAGTCTATGCAGGATCTATTGTCTCTTGGGGCTTTCCACATTTAGAACCTCCTTTTTACCTTTGACTAGGAGTCCTGGTGTGGTGCTGTAGTATAAGCTCTGGACTGCTAACCACCAGGTTGGCTGTTTAAATCCACCAGCCACTTCTCAGAAACCCTATACAGGGCTGCTGTAAGTTGAAACTGACTCATAAAACAATAACAACAGCAACAACCTTTGACTACCTCCCTTTCATGGCCCCTGCCCCTGTCTAGTCTCTGTACATTACTATTTGGCAGGTAGACATGGCTTTCTGATAAGTATTTAATCCCAGAAGAAAGGATTTTATTCTCTTCCCAAGGCTTGGATGCATTCTAACTTCACCCTGTGGGTGGGACCCTAATTTCAGGGAACCGAGGCTGATGATGATGTGTGTGGTTCTAATCATCCCTGTCCTGTTTATCCTCTGAACTATAAATGCCTGTTGATCACACCATTATAATAGTGTCTGGTTTCTGCTCTGCTCCAAGTGATCTTCACTAAAAAGTGAATTGCACCAGGAACCACGAAACACATTTTACATGCCTCTTCTTTTTATTTCTCACGGCAACCTATGGGGAGGTACTGTGATCAACCCATTTCACAGATGAGGACACTGAGCTGGAACCAGACATTCCCAGTATATAGTCTAAGCCTACAAGGGGGCTTACATTTTTTCATTATCTTTTTTTTTTCTTTTTTTTTTAAGGTTTTTATTGTGGATTGAGTGAAAGTTTTCAGGGCACATCATCGATTTCACATTCAAACATTCATATACCTTGTTTCATTACATTGATTATAATTCCCCCCACATACCAACAGTTAACAAAGTTTCTCTCTATCCTCTTTAGCTTTTGGGGGGGGGGGAAAACTTTGCCTTTTTGGAATTTACAGTCTCGGCTTTTAGGGAAGGTTTTTACATTTATCTGTGGGTATCCAGGACTCATGTATGGAATTACTAACCAGCATAACTGAATAATCAGATAAGGGATATTTTGCTATGTCTGCTAGGTGGCTAAAGTCTGATCCTCAGAGCCTATGGTTTGGACGGTCAGCAACGCTTGGGCCCACTTTCATTATCTTTTAATTCCATTTCCCCACAAACTTTCTGAAGCTCCCTCATATTTTTTCTTTACTGAGAAAACTACAGACCAGAGCGGGCTGGTGAGTTGGCCCAGGTCACACAGTGCCCAGCAGCAGAGGGTGGATAAGACCTGGACTGGCTGTTGAGGCCCAGGGCTGCCTGGCTCCTCCCTCAAACACAGACTCAGAAAGTCAGAGGGCACTACTGGCACTCCAGACAGGCCCCTAGGAGTCCTGCGTCATGCTTGTTAGCTCATGGTTACCCCTAGGTAGGCTGGTGGGCAGGGAGGAGGGGACCAGGCACTGGGAAGGAGCCCCTTGGTGAACAGTGGCTGGGAAGAGCTGCAGGGAGGGAGATGGAAGAATAAAAATAGATTCTCCTGGACAGTCGCCTATGCAGGCAGAAGGCTTTCTGTGTCTCCTCTCTGCCGCCCTCCCCATGACTCAGACCTGCTTGCCAGCCAGGCCTCCCCTCCACCTGACAACACAGACATGTTTGGGGCAGGCTTTCCAAATCCCTGTGCCTTTGAATGCCTTATTTGGGGGTCTCTGGGAACAGGAGGCACTGTGGAGGACGTACAGGGATGGAGAACCTAAAGACTTGGGTTCAGAAACTAACTTTGCTGTCGACCCCTGGGAGATCTTTGGGACGCTTCCTTCTTCCTGAGCCTCATTTTTCTTGTCTGTACAAAGGGCTTTAGAAGGAAAGCAGGAAGTGCCAAGTCTTCAGACAGTAGAAAAAGTCCATGGAAAAACAGAATGGAAAGATTATGGAGTTTTTCCAGGGACTTTGTGAAGCCGCCTAGGGCAGAGACCAGCAGTTGGATAGAGTGATTGTTGTTGTTGTGTGTCGTGGAGTCGGTTCCGACTCATAGCAACCCTGTACAGTGTTTCCGAGACTATTAATCTTTACAGGAGCAGAACGCCTCATCTTTCTCCCACAGAACAGCTGACCTTGCGGTACGCAGTCCGATTCATAACCTCTACACTACCAGAGCTCCTTGGATAGGACACTAGTGGGAAACAAATCCAGGAAACTATTATGTCAACACCCTTTGCTAGCCAATAATCAGGGGGCTTTCAGACAAGGCCCTGGTCTGGGTATCAGATGATGAGAGTCCATCCTTTCCACAAGAGAAAGCAGAATGGTAGCAAGTCAAAAGTCAGGCTCTAGAAAACCCTTGGGCAGTGCCTTTTCTAGCTCCTGTCCCTGCCCAGGGTGGTAGGAAGCGCCTTGTCTAAAATCCTGCCAGGGCAGGGCAGAGAGACTGAAATTGTACGTCCCCTTGCTGGCAGACGACCTGCTTTTCATACATTCCCACAAAACTACCCTTCAAGTTTTAGGTTCTGATCCACACTTTACAGATGAGGAAACAGAGGCAAAAAGAGATAAAGCATCTCGCCTAAATTCCTCCAGTGGTTGGTGGTGGGACCACAGTTGTGTGCTCTGCCCCTACCAGCCTGCCTTCCTCCCTCCCCTCACCCATGGCTTCTGCTTCTTTTCTCCACAGGCCCAGCCTCCAGCGAGGAGTGTGGGACCAAGGCCCGCTTCTCACTGTCGGATACTGTGGAGGAAGGCACCTGGGCAGCTTCTGTGGTAGACCAGCAGGACAGTGTCCTCTCGCTGCAGCTCAGCACCCCTGCCCATGCCCCTGTTGGTCTGTACCGTCTCAGCCTGGAGACCTCCACTGGCTACCAGGGTTCCAGCTTCATACTGGGCCACTTCGTCCTGCTCTTCAATGCATGGTGTCCAGGTGAGCCGCACCCCATCCACAGTGTTTGGAGAGGTAGACAGGGCCTGGCTGAGTGTTCTTGTGTTTCAGAAATACCACAATGTGTGGTTTCAATAAACAGAAACTGGCAGGGTGGGGAACATCCAGCCAGCGAAATAATTTGGCCTGTCCCTGCCAAGGCAACCGCAATTCCAACCATCACATTGGGAGTTGGGGAAAGTGTGCCATTGAGTCAGTTCCGACTGGTAGTGACCCTGCATGGGGTTTCTGAGGCTGTAAATCTTTATGGGAGCGGAAAGCCTCATCTTTCTCCTGCAGAACAGCTGGTAGTTTCGAACTGCTGACCTTGAAATTAGCAGCCTGACTCATAACCACTACGTTACCAGAGCTCCTTAGCCATCACATTGTTGTTGTTAAGTGCCTTTGAGTTGGTTCTGACTCATAGCCACCCTGTGTCGTTTCTGAGGAGCTGCTGGTGAGCTTATACCGCAGACCTTGTGGTTTAAACTGAGTTTGCAGTCCAGTGCATTAACCCACAATGCCACACCAGGACACCAGCTATCACATTGGTGTTGTTGTTAAGTGCTGTTGAGTCAGTTCTGTATTGAGTTTCTGAGGAGCAGCTGGTGGGTTTGAACTGCCAATCTTGTGGTTCGCAGTCCAGTGCTGATCCTTCACCACTGACCATACCAGGACTCCAACCATCACATTGTTGTTCTTGTTGTTAGGTGCCATCAAGTTGATTCCGACAGTTAATTAAATAGTTGACCAAATGCAGCAGGTGAAGTATGGCCTGCAAATGTTATGTATTTTGGCTCTGGAGTCCTGATGTGGTGCTGTAGGTTAATGCGTGGGACTGCAAAGTTGGTTTGAACTGCTAGGTTGGTGGTTCAAGTTCACCAGTTGCTTGGAAACCCTATACAGGGTTGCTATGGGTCGAAACCAACTTGACAGCACTTAACAACCACAACAACACCCCTGCTCAAGGGGAAGGGCCTTGTTACTTGGTTCTTTGGTGACCTTTGTGTGGCTTGGCATCTAACTTTCCCCATCTCTGCTTACTCGCTTCCTTGTTTACTCTCTTTTATCTCCAAAGAGACTGACTCAAGACATACCCTACACTAATTCTACAAAGACAGCCCATTCCCAAAGGAGATTATAGCGGGCTAGAGATTAGGATTTATACTACTTACTTTTGGGGACACAATTCAATCCCTAGCATCTTGTTTGGATGAATAAACAGACTCACGGAGGCTGATTCACCCAAGACTGCACAGCTACCCAAGGAATCCTTCCCGAGTCCGAGTCCGGGGCCCTTGTGCTCCCTAGCACTGTGAATGGAGGTAGGGAGGGGTCTTGAGTTCAAAAGGTCCATCCCAAGGATGGGGTGTCCAGCTGATGCCCAGAGCCAAGGCACTAGGTCCTGATTCCATTTCACAGCTTGTTTTAAATCTCACCAGAGTGGTCTAGAGTGCGGAAACTGAGGGCACCGAAAGGGTGGAAGTGTCCAGAAAAAGTGGGCATGGTATACACCATCTGGTTACCAAAGCAGCTCTTTATCTCAGTAATTCCTGTCAATAGTCCCAGCAGGAAGTTGTCAACATCCTCCTTTCACTGGCAGGAAATCGAGCCTCAAGAAGTGAGGTGGCTTTCAGAAACTCCTTCAATAAAGGCTTAGAGTCCAGAGGTAGGGATGGGAAGAGCTGAGGCTGACCTGAGCCAAAGAGAAGAGGCAGGGGCTGCTGGGTCCCCTCCTCGGGCCTCAGTTTCCCTAGATAACTAAAAGTGTGGTTGGATCTAATGGTCTTGTTTTCATCATGCGCTGATACAGCAAGGGGACAAGTCCAGCCTAGGTCTGGCATGGGAACTCTGACCTCCCCAGCAGCACTAGACACCCAACTTCCCTGTGTCGTGCTTTATTTTTTCTTCTTCATTTGGGGACATTTGATAACACATTTGAGCAAAAATATTCTTTTGTTTTATTTTCTCTTTTATAAATTTTGACTTTTTTCAAAGTTTTTATTGTGAATTATGTGATACTTTACATTAGCTTTACATTCATCGTATCTTATATCGTTTCATTGCCATGATTACAATTCCCTCCAGGCATCATCAAACAACCAAAGGGTATACCCTGCAAGTTTGACCCTCGGTCATAAGCACACACAGCCCCTTTCCCTCTCTGTGTCTAAAGTCCCCAACAGCTCCATCTCGCCATGTCATCTTCTCTGCCACCATCTCTGGCATCACTGCTTCTCTGGGTAGGGTCCTGCACTCCACTCTTCTATATTTTGACTTTTTATTTCTAATCATAACAATAAGACATGAAGCCACTGCATCTTCTTTACAAAAGATTTAAGCAATGAGCCCCTCCTTGTTAGCCATGTGGCAGGAGGACATCTCCTTAGAGTCACCATGTGGTATGTATGTGCCTGAAGAAATGGATCTGGATCTGTGGGTCTCTCTTAAACGTAAAAGGAACACAGTATGCTGTTGTTGTTGTTAGGTGCCGACTTAACATCACAAGTACAACAGAAAGAAGCACTGCTGGGTCCTGCGTCAACCTACAATGCTGACTCATGGCGACCCCTGTGTTGCAGAGTGGGGCTGAGCTCCATAGGGCTCAGTTCACTGTGATCTTTATGGAAGTTGATTGTTAAGCCATTCTACCATTGACTCACTGGGTAGCTTTTACCCGCCAACCAACTTGTTTCTTTCTCTCCATGGCATGTCTTGGGATCTTTCCATGTAAATCCGTATCCATCCTCCTCAGACAGTGTGAGAGTCCCAAGTGCCCTGGACCTTGCCTGGAGACACCAGGTCCTACTCAATGGCTCACCCCAGGGAGGCTGCTGCTGCAGTAGAGTTGCTCATGTGTCCTGTGACCATTTGGACAGATATGGCCACCATGGACCTGTCATACATGTGGTTTGCATCATAGTCCTTGTGTAGAGGGTTTAACAGGTTGGCAGCCCTGCCCTCTGAGCAGAAGCAGCTACAGAGTTCAGTGAACTTGTAGCATGGTTCTCAGGGATGACCCCCTTCCTCCCAGCCAGTGGGTTCACATAGCGGTCAGCCAAGCAACACAGTGACTAAAGTGACCCACATCCCAAGGGCGGGAGCCCTGAGGAGGCTGTGGAACTGGTGGTGCGGAGGCAGAAAGTCGGGCTGGGGAAGGAAATTGTTCAGATGGGTGGAAGGAGGCAGGCTCGGAGCTTTAAAACAGCCGTAACTGAGCTCCAGTTATGTGAGAGGCTTCTCGTCCCCAACGTCCCTGCCTTCAGTAGTCTAAGCTGTGCTGGGAATGATGTCACAGCCCTGACTTCCTGGCCAGGGGTGGAGAAACTCTCCCTGGGATGGTGAAACCCTGGTTTTTCTTTCTGTTCTATTCTTTCTCCCACACGACCCTGCTGATTCACAGGCGTATGGCTTGTTTATTTTAAGGTTCAGTTTTATGGCACAGTCCAGGGCTGTTTCCCAGAACACAGCTGGGCTAGTTTCACATTTATTTTCCTCAATGTGACAGGAGTGGGGCCATTAGTCCATGCAGGACTAACAGAGCAGCTGTAATCCAGGCCTAACCCTGCCAGGACTGAATGGTTCTCCAGATCTGACTTCTGTACCAGGCACGGCAGGCACAGAACCTATGGTCCCTGATACTTTTCAGGGCCTATAGAAATGTACTAATGTCTTATAGAATCAGAAGAAAAGATCAACTTTTAAGTCAAACATTCTGTTTTATATGATTAAGTCTGTTCCAATTCATAGTGACCCTGTATAGGGTTTCCAAGGAGCAGCTAGTGGGTTTGAACTGCTGACCTTGTGGTTAGCCATCCAGTGTTTATTCTACAATGCCACACCAGGACTCCAATATAAGTATATACTTCAATATAAGCAAATTTGGAGCTCCCAGGTGGCACAGTGGTTAATGCACTCAGTTGCTAACCCAAAGGCCTAATAAGGGCCTGGTGATCCCCTTCTAAAAGCATCAGCCATTGAGAACCATATGGAGCCTACTTCTACTCTGACACACACATGGAATGCCATGAGTCAGCCAACTGAAGAACAGCAACAACAACCTTAATGTCATTGTTGTTAAGTACCATCAAGTCAATTCTGACTCATAGTGACCCTATATAGAGTTTCCCCAGAGTGGTTGGTGAGTTTGAACCTCCAACCTTACACAATGCAGTTATAACATAAAATTAATTTTTTTTTTTTCTTTATGGAGGAAAGGACCCATGAGAACAAAACGCCCCCAGCTCACCAAAACCCTAATGTGACCCTAGGCTTCCCCTTTCCAGCCTGTCTCTCCATCTGTAACATGTGAATGGTAAAGGTCAGCCTGACCTTTGAACTTTGTCAGCTCCTTTTTCTTCTATTACTCTAGCCACATGGACTGAGTGTCCTGCCCTGCATTTCTCTGCCTAAAATGTCATTCCTCCGAAGTATCCAAACCTTAGTCATTTACCAAGGCAACATTCAGTTGCCACCTTCTCTAGAGGTGTGTTGTTGTTGTGTGCTGTTGAGTCAGTTCTGACTCATAGCTCCACTGAATAGGGTTTCTGAGGCTGTAAATTTCTATAGAAAGTCTGATCTTTCACCCATGGAATGGCATGGTGGATTCAAACCGCCAACCATGTGATTCCCAGCCCAACTGATAACCCACTATGCTACCAGGGTATCCTTCTCTAAACCCTCCTAATTGGAGAGGATCTCACTTCAACCTGACCCACAATACTCCCCTTCTTCGGCATTTCCTCCTTGTACAGAACCTTCTCCACCTTGAATTACACCGTTTCTTCTTCATGTAGGGCCTTAGTGGTGCAGTGGATAAGCACTTGGCTGCTAACTGGAGAGTTGATGGTTGAAACCCACTAGCCATTCCACAGGGGACAGATGAGTCAGTTGTCTTCTGTAAAGATGACTTGGGACTCCTACTGGGCAGTTGTCCCCTGTTCAGCAGGGTCACTATGTGCCAGAATCCACTCGACAGCAGCTGGCTTGGGTTCCGGTCTTCTTCACATAGGCTCAGTGCTTGGTTTTCAGAGTACCTTCCAGAGCTACCATCACACTTTGCTCTCAGGCCAACGTAAGAAGTGGGTGGAGAGGGAGAAGTGATCTGTCTGTCCAGGGGCACACGTCAAGTGAAGTTCAGAAGAGTTCATGCAGTGCCCCTCTGTCTTTTGCTTTGGCATTCGTTTTCCCATTTGTAAAATCATTTTGAGCCCTCAGTCTTCCCACCTGGGTCCCTCCCTCATAAGACTCCTATGGGGATCATATGAGTTAATATGTGCATAGCACTTAGCCCAGATCCTGGCACGTGGCAGCCATTGTTGTCACTACCTGATAACACTTTATCGCATTGATACAGGATTATTTATTAGTAATTAGTTTTGCTGATTACAAAAAAGGAGGACCTCTGAGACGCTGGCCTGCTTGGGGGAGCGGGCACCTTTTCTTGGCTTCCATGTCTATGGGTACTCTGGGCCTTACCAGGCCCCCATTTGAGGCCCCCTTCCTTCCCACCCACAGCGGATGATGTGTACTTGGACTCAGACGAGGAACGACGGGAGTATGTGCTTACCCAGCAGGGCTTCATCTACCAGGGCTCGGCCAAGTTCATCAAGAGCACACCCTGGAACTTTGGGCAGGTAGGACCACACACTGCCTCTCCCGGTGGTCTCAGGCCTAACATGCACTAGTCCTGTGCCAGAGAACGACGGTGTGAGTGGATCCCAGGGTTGACCAGTGCATGCTGTCATGGAAGTGAGGGTCTGAAATAACTGAAGGTTCAGAGAGGGCCCAGGCTGGTCCTAAAGTCACAGTGTAGGGTTGACCTGTCCGACATGGGAGCAGCAACTCCAGATTCAAACTGGTGAAAGAATCAGGAGAGCACTTCAGAGATGTGCAGGCTGTTGGGTACTCAGGGGAAGAGGGCAGTCAAGATCATATAACAAAAGAACAGCAGAACTTGGAGAGCACTCACTGTGGACTAGGCATGTGCAGAGAAGGGCCTCTAACCCATGATCTGGATCATCCAATCACTGGGAGAGTGCATTAAAGCAAACAGTGCCAGGCTCCACCCCTAGAGTTTCTGATTCAGTAGGTCTAGCGTGGAACCTGAGAACTTGCAAGTTGCATTTCTAACAAGTTCCTAAATGATGTTGATGCTGCTGGTCCTGGGACCATGCTGTGAGATCCACTGATCTGGCTATATGGCTTAGCTGTTACTGAGTTATAAACAAGTCCCAAACTTAGAGTAAGACCACAACATTTATTACTTCTCACAACGCTGGAGGTCAGCATAAAGCCAGCTGTCTGGGATAGGGAGCAAGGGGTAGATGGGAGAGCCCTTGAATCGTGATATGAAATTAAATGGGGCAGGGCAATGGAAAAGGAGCCCTGGTAACATAGTGTACTATGAGCTGGGCTGCTAACTGCAAGGCCAGCAGTTCAAATCTACCAGCCGCTCCTTGGGAGAAAGATGAGGCTTCTGGTCCTATAAAGATTTACAACTTCAGAAACCCTATACAGGGTTGCTGTGAGTCAGAACCAGCTTGGTAGCACATAACCACCACCACCACCACCAGTGCAATGGAAGGTGGCAAGAAGGAGATCTTGCTTCAGATAAAAGATGACTTTTGAGTTGCAGCCCTGAGGATGAGAAGGTGAGAGCTATACACAGAGTAATAGAGAGAGCATTTCAGGCATAGGAAACAGCAAGTGCAAAGGCCCTGAGGCAGTGAGCGTGAGACAGAATGAGCATGGGCTAAAGTGGCGAAGGATGAAGCCAAAGAGTAGGGTGGGACACCAGTCACACAGGCTCTTGTGGGCCAGGGGGAATCTAGATTTTACTCTGAGTGTAATGAGAACAAAGGAATAGTGGAACTAAATTTTTCTATGCAACCCACCTCAGTTCCAAGACGAACAGTGTTTGGGGGTTCTCAGTGTCTTTCTGAAGTGAGTCCTGCTTTAGGGCAGAGACTGTTAGAGTACAATGGCAGGGACTCTGAGGGGAAATGAAGCCCCAGGGATGTTGGGCTGCCCTCTCTGTGGGCTTTCCTAAAAATCCCCAGGGTCCCCACACAGGCCCTAGATGCAGACGCATTCCCACTTTTCACACACTGGTGGTCTGTTCAGTCACTGCTCACCCCGCTCCCTCCTGGACCAGGAGATGCTGGTGCCACAGGGGATGCAGCCTGTGCCCCCAGCCCCCTGTGTGAAATAGAGCAGGGAGGACATGCAGCTGCTGGGGGCCTCAAGGCAAGCTTCTGGAGAAGCTGACGTCTCACCTCCCTGTTCTTCTCCTGTTTCCTCTGACAGTTTGAAGATGGGATCCTGGACACCTGCCTGATGCTCCTCGATGTCAACCCCAAGTTCCTGAAGGATGCCAACCGTGACTGCTCCCGCCGCAGCAGCCCGGTCTACGTGGGTCGAGTAGTGAGTGGCATGGTGAGCGAATGAACACAGGCCCAACGTGCCCCACTGGGCTCCTCCCTCCCTGTGTGGACAGACACCATGCTCTGTGCTGGGTATGGTGGGGGGACTCCGGAGAGGACAAGTCTCAGTGAGGAGAGCATGCATTTCACAAGACATGTTGTTGTTGTTAAGTGTCGTCAAGTTGGTTCTGACCCATAGCGACCCTGTATAGAGTTTCCGAGGAGTGACTGATGCGCTTGAACCACCAACCTTCTGGTTCAAACAACTTTGCAGTCTGGTGCATTAATCCACAGAGCCACACTAGGACTCGGAAGACGTGGCATCACACAAATGAGGGTGATGCCATGCGGTCCTCCAAAGCAACTCAGTCATTCATTCTGCAGACATTGATCAAATGCCATCTATGTCCCAGGCACTGGGATACAGCTGGGTATGAGATATATTATGGCCTCTAACTTCACAGAGTGTACATTCTGGTAGTTGGAGGGAAACAGACATTAACCAAAATGGCACAGGAATACACAATCATAAATTATGACGCATGTGATCAAGGAGTCCGGAGTGGGAAAGCATCTGACCACAAGACCTAGCTTTGCTTGGAAGGGCTCTTGGAATATGGAGAGCCTTGAGCTGATATAGTAACTAGGAGACAAGCACATTCCAGGAAGAGAACCGAGCTTGTGCAACAGGCCTGGGGAGGGAACAACTTTGGCAGGTTTGGGAAATAGACGGGAAGCCAGTGTGATTGGAGTAGCATGAGCCAGGCAGACCAGGGTGCAGGACAAGCTGCAGAGGTGGGCAGGGGTCAGACCATGCATGGGCCATGTCTGGAGACTGGGTTTTATCCTGAAGGGAACAGGAGTTTGGAACTTTTAAGGGAGGGAGGGGAAGTGACAGCACAATCTGATCAGGGACCACAGAAGATTTTTGTAAACATCAGACCACGTCCTATCACTCCCCAACAGCCCAGTGCTCATAAGACAAATTCACATCTCTAACCCTGAAACTCTTCATGGTCTTGATGCCCCTCTTACCTCCTCTCCTCTTCTCTCTTGCACCTTGGGTTCCAGCTCCCAGCCAATTGTGTCATACTGCATTCCATCACACCTTGGTACCTTTGTATCTGCTATTCCCTCATCCTGTAACTTGCTTCCCTGCCTTCTGTCATGCACTAAACTCATGCTCACTCTAGCTCAGCTGTCACAGTTCTGTGATGCCCCACTGGTTGCAGGTTAACTGCAATGATGACCAAGGCGTGCTGCTGGGACGCTGGGACAACAACTACGGGGACGGCATCAGCCCCATGTCCTGGATCGGCAGCGTGGACATCCTGAGGCGCTGGAAGAGTGAAGGCTGCCAGCGAGTCAAGTATGGTCAGTGCTGGGTCTTCGCTGCCGTGGCCTGCACAGGTAAGCTGCACATCAGGATGTGAGCTGGGCCACAGAGAGCATTGGAACGGGAGTCAGGAGCTCCTGGTTCTGGTCCTGCCTTTTCTACCAACACCACTGTGTGGTGGTCTGCAGCTGGTGGCCGCCCCTCTCTAGCCCTGTTCCCAACAACGGCCCTTCATTGCTAAGGTTAGACGGCATCATTCAGGAAGCAGTGTGCATTTAGGCCTGAGAACATGAGCTCTGGAGCCAGGCAGCTCTGAGCCTACGATCCTTGCTCTACTACTCACTTGTCCTGTGACCTTGAGCAAATGCTGTCTCTTCTCTGAGCCTGAGTTTCCACATCTGTAAAATGGGGACAACAGGACCTACCTCCTCATGGTTGTAGTTGTGACATAAAGCTGCTCAGCATAGAACCTGGCCCATTGTAGTAAACATTCCCGTAAATTACTTGGTATATCAAGGCAAGTGGTCGGGTGCCCTCAGAGCAAACCCCCTTCTAAGACTAAGACTCAATGGGAATACACACTCTATTGGTGACCACGTTGGTCACTGATAAGGGGAAGTAAGGGAAAAACAGCAATGAAGCTGCAAGCTGAGCCCTACAACATTCAATAGACTCCTGTGAACCCGGGTGGAGACCTGGTTGGCCAGCAGTGTTGCAAGGCCCAGAGTCAGTGACACAGCCACAGAGGACTAGAGTGGAGAGTGAAACGTCCAGCTGATAAGAAGAGAGGGCATATGCATAAGAGCACCCACACTTGCAGCTAATACCCACTTGACCTGGCTTCAATGACTGGATGATCAGAGCTCAACTAGAAGAACAAAGAAGCGGAAAAAAAAGAGTAATCTGATACAATATGATGAACTTGACCTACACCTATGGTTGCAGTAGCTCAAAAGAGGGAACAGATCTTTACAGCAAGGATCATTCCCACCCCCTCCATGCACAGAGTAGACAGGGATGGGCAACTTGGACATTGGCTACCCAAAGTGGTGCGGGGGGTGGGTAGGCGCTACAAAGGCAAGAAGTGACTGGCTTACAAGCTTTCAAGAAGGAACCTAGATACAAAGGGCCTGGTGGAACTTAGAATCTCCACTGAGTAGTATCCAATCTGTCTAGGCGGGGCTGATGAAAGGAGATGGGAATAGATAGATCTCTTGTGATACAATAGTGAATAATTGTTATCAGGACTACTTGTGAGGGTTGGAAATGTAAAGGTAGATGTTTTATAGCAAGGAGGGGAGTGATTAACTCTCCAGTCTAAGAACAGAGGTCCCTGGGACCATCAAGGGAGAAGAGCGGAGAGCGGGACCCTACCCAGAGAATCAGTGACGCCTGAGATGGAGGCAGAGATGATGACGTAGAGCAATGGAGCAGCTGGGGGCTTTAGACACAGAGAGGGAGAGGGGCTGTGTGCTGAGGACTGGGGGGCAGGCTTGCAGGGTATACCCTGTGGTTGGTTGATGATTCATGGAGGGGATTGTAACCATGGCAATGAAACGATATACGATAGGATGAATGTAAAACTAATGTTCTCCCATGTAAACTATCACATAATTCACAATAAAACATTGGGGGGGGGGGGGGAAATTACTTGGTAATAACAGTAATAACCAGCAATGTCGAGAAAGAGAAAGTGTTTTTCAAAATGTGGAGGAGGAAACATAAATCAATTTAAAAGAAAAAAGGTGTCAAAAAATAACCATGAAAATTCAAGCTCAGAGAGTGTTGAAGACTATGGTGCTTCTAAGCAGAGCTTCCTGGAGTCCTGGTGTGGCGTTGTGGGATAAGCCCTGAACCACAAGGTCAGTTTGAACCGCAAGGCTGGTGGGCCTGGTGGGCGTGGTGCTGGGGCTGAGGCTGCTTCCGCCACTCCTTGGAAACCCTCTACAGGGTCACTGTGAGTCAGAATCACACTTACCAAAAACATGAAAATGGAGTAGCATTTTCTAGTTAAAAATATGGACCATCAAGTTAAGACCTGGGTTCAAATCCCAGTTCTGCTTCTTACCTGCTGTGTGTCCTTGAGAAAAATCACTGAAGTCCTCTGTGCCTCAGTTCTGAGATGGTTGTGAGGATTAAATGAGTGAATATATGTGACGTAGTTAAATGAAGACAGACACATAACAGCAAAAACTTATACATTGCTGTTACTTCTTACCATGTTATTGCCATTTTTGGACTCAGGAAGTGTTCGAGGCTGATCCAGGGTCCCTAGCTTCTTTGAATCCCAGATCTGTACTCAGGTTGGGAGCTCCCCAGGACTGTCTGCCGTACTGGCACACTGGGTGTGCGCAGCGAGACCCAGGTTCCCTACCCCCACCTCTGCCCCTGACTGCTTGCTCCCTTGTAGCCTCTGAATTCTCCTTTCTTCATCCTCTGAGAGAATGAAAACTTCCTCATCCCTGAGAGGCCTGAAATACATCTTCTTAGAGAATCCCTTGGGTTTTCCTTGGAAAATACCTCGGAGCAGGACTGGGTCACCAGACTTGCTTTCTCTCCCCCTCCCACCTACCCCGGCCCCACCCTGCCCCGGCTGTGATCATCTGAAGTAAAATTTAACAGCAGGTCTTGACTGTGCGCTCCACAAGGCCAGGCCTGTGTCAGGGTCCCCACAGTCTCCTCCCAGGCCTGGTGTGTAATGGAAACAGGGAAATCTTGGTCAAATGAGGGACCTCAAACAAGGTATTTCTGTGGGAAGTTCCAACTCCAGCTCTGCCTCTAATCCTTAGGTGGACTTGGGCAAGCAAATTGATGTCTCCAAGCCTAAATTTTCTCACCTGTAAAATGGAGAGGTGTACACCAGGGTTGCATTCTTCCACCATACTTACTCAATCTGTATGCTAAGGAAATAATCTGAGATGCTGGGTTATATGAAGAAAAGCATGACATCAGGATTAGAGGAAGACTCATTAACAACCTGCAATATGCAGATGATACAATCTTCTTTGCTGAACGTGAAGAGGACTTAAAATACTTACCAATGAAAATCAAAGACCACGGTCTTCGTTTGGTATGGGTTGCATCTCAGTGTAAAGAAAGAAAAAAAAAAAAATCCTCACCACTGAACCAATAATTACAACAAATGGAGAAAAGACTGAAGTTATCAAAGACTTCATTTTGCTCGATCAACCATCAACACTCATGGAAGCAGCAGTCAAGAAATCAAACAATGTATTAGGCAAATCTGCTGCACAAGACCTCTTTAAAATGTTCAGGAACAAAGATGTCAGTTTGAGAACTGAGGTACGCCTAACTCAAGACATGGCATTTCCAATAACCTCATATGCATTGAAAGTTGAATGATGAAAAGCAAGACCATTAAAGAATTGATGCATCTGAGCTATGGTGTTGAAGGAGAATATTGAAAGTACCATGGACTTCCAAAAGAACAAATAGATCTGTGTTAGAAGTCCTGTCAGAATGATCCTTTGAAGCCAGGATGACCAGACTTCATCTCTCATACTTTGGACATATTATCAGGAAGGAGCAGTCCCTAGAGAAAGGACATCATGCTTGGTAAAGTGAAGGGTCAGCAAAAAAAAAGGAAGAGCCCCAATGAGATGGATTGGCACAGTGGCAGCAGCAATGGGCTCAAGTGTGATGGTGAGGTTGGCGCAGGACAGGCAGTGTTTTGTTCTGTTGTGCATAGGGTCGCTATGAGTCAGTACCGACTTGATGGCACCTAAAACAACACCAGCAAAATGGAGATAATGATGGCTGTTCTAATCCCCAGGTCTTAGGGCTCAGGTTAGTTTGGGTTTGGAGGTTTCTGAGGGTAGTTGGGATTCCAGCATTCTCAGCTGGATCCCCGGACATTTTCTTAGTGTGACACTAACTGAAGCAGGAGTTTGTGGTGACAGTCACTATGACAAACTCTCCGTGTGCCTCCTCATGCTCACCCTGAGCCAGACACTGATCACACAGAGACGAGCAGGCACACAGACAGGAGACTGCCCACACCCATGGCCTCTCTCTGACTCATCACAATAGCCCAACCAGCTGATATTATTAGCAACTCTTACACAGAAGGAAACAGAGGCTCTGAGAGGGGAAGTGGCTTGGCCAAGGCCACACAGCTGGTGAGTGGCTCAGGCAGCTTGGGAACCAAGCTGTGAGAATGAAGCCTCCCAGGACACCAGGTCTGTGAGAATGAAGCCTCCCAGGACACCAATCTGGGTTAGGAGTGCTGCCTTGTTCCTTCCCAAGCCTCTGGCCTATCGTCTGAGGCCAGCTGCACCACAGGCCAGGGCCTGGGGTTGGGGTACCAGCCTTCACTAAGGGGTGGTGGTATGGTGTCTAGCTCCTGCCTTGGCCCCAGGACACAGGAAGTAGGCAAGAGGTGGGACTGGAAGATCACAGCCCGCTCCTTCCTCCTTCCAGTACCAGAATCCAGGGCCTCGGGCAGCTTTTGTTTTGCTTGCCCTTTTGGATATTGACTTTATTTATCCTGTCTTGAGAATTTGTTATTTTTACAACATACATCAAAAGCACATAAAGACTGAGGGTGTAAAATCACCCAGAATTCCATCCACCAAGAGCTCCCAGCACCACTGTTTGGACAAGACTTGTGCCCGGAGTTTTTCGGGGTCTTCTTCCTCCCTGTTGTTTCCTACAGAGCTGAGATGGGTCTGTAGAAGGTGGTTGATCTTCAACTGTGGTTGCCACATCAGCAACCTTTCTCCCAGTAATCACAATCCCTCTGTAAACAGTGTTTTGGCTGAACGCGGGGCCCCTCCTCACCCACGGTGAATGAGAAGCTGGTCAGGTGATCCTGTTTGATAGAGGAGGAGACAAGGCCCAGAGAGGTGAAGTGATTGGACTCGGGTTTCACAGTCTGGAAGTAGCAAAGCTAGGCTTGAGTGGCAGGTCTCCTGAGCCCCGTTCCCTTCTCTGCCGGCTTGCCCCTTGCTCTGAATCTTTGTCTCAGGAGATACGGTTATCCCCCACCACCCTTCCTTCACCCCATTTTGACAGAATGCTCTCTCCAGGTCTCCGCTGGGCTCTAGGGATATAGAGCATGCCTTTACTGTGAGGATGGTGCTACTCATGGGGCCATCTAGACCTGGTGGAGTGGCCTTCCGGAAACAGCATGGGTCAGTGCCCTGTGGTTGACAGGAACGTGGAGTGCTGGAGGAGGAGCAAAATGTGCAAAAAGTGGTCAGGGGTCGGACCCGCAGGGGTCTGTTCCTGACCTCAAGAGCCTTGGGAAGCCACTGAATGTTTAGCAGGGGAGTGTTGAGGTCAGATTCACATTTTCGTCTCCCCATTGGCAGCTGTGATGAGAGGGACAGAATGGACGGGTGAGTTGGACAAGAAGGGGTGGCGCATTCTCTCACTGCTTGGATAATGGGTACAGTTTTCCCCACGGTACAGATGAGCATGTCAAGGCCCAGAGTGGGGCAGCCCCCTCTAGGGCCTCAGTCCTGACCCTCTCTGTCCCTTTCCCCTATCCAGTGCTTCGGTGTCTTGGTATTCCCACCCGTGTTGTGACCAACTATAACTCAGCCCACGACCAGAATAGCAACCTGCTCATCGAGTACTTCCGCAATGAGTTTGGCGAGGTCCAGGGTGACAAGAGCGAAATGATATGGTGAGGTGGGGGCCAGGGCCCAGTAGGGAGGGCCCTGTGAATAGGGAAATCTGGGAAGGCTTCCTGGAGGAGGTTACCCATGAAGGGGGCAGTTTGGGACAGGAGAGGAAACAAGGTATGGGAAGGGCCCTCCGGGCAGGGAAAACAGCATGAGCAAAGGCCCAGGGGAGAGAATGAGTTGAGAGTCTGGAATGCCAGGCTTGGTTCCAGAAGCAACAGGCTGTCACTAAAGGCTTCAGGGTAGGAGACAGGTATGCTGATAACTGCACCTCAGAAGGTCTTGAGAGGGTGAGACTGAGGTAGGAGCTGGGTGGGAGATGAGGTCTGAACCAGGTCAAGGCCTGTGGGTTGTGAAAGAAGGAGTAGAGTCAAGAAATTGGCCGGAGAAGCCATTGAAATCTGAACTGGGAGGTGAGGGAGCAGGAGTGGAGAATGACTCTGGGACACAGAAGTGAACACCTGGCTGGAATGTTGGGAGGAGCAGCTGGTTCCACTCAGGACAAGACCCTGGGTGTCTTAGGGAAGTCCAGGGCAGGGGCCAAGGAGGAAGACTGGGCCGGTGGTCAGCCTGTTGGAGGTAAAAATGAACGTTTCAAATCTGAGTTTGGGTCAGTGTTCTGCTTCATATCTCCAACAGGAATTTCCACTGCTGGGTGGAGTCATGGATGACTAGGCCTGATCTTCAACCTGGATATGAAGGGTGGCAGGCCCTTGACCCCACTCCCCAGGAGAAGAGTGAAGGTGAGTAGGAGTGAACCCATTACCTTGATGAGGAAACTGGGGTTCCAAGAGTTGAAGTAACTCACCCTGTGATGCTCACTCAAGAGTGACAGAGCTGGGATTCTAAGCCAGGTCTGTTTGACTCCAGAGACCACTGATATGTCACTCGTATTTCCCCATTTATATTTTCATAATACATTTATTTTGTAACTTGAAAAGTAATTCGCACGCATTGTGGACAACTTGGGGACTATGGAGAGGCACAAAGGAAAAAGATCCAACAGCCTCTTTGTCCTCTCCCCGCAACAAGCATTGTTAACATTCACACATTACTTCCAGTCATGTTTGTTTTTTTTAATTTAAGGTTTTTATTGTGGATTGAGTGAAAGTTTACAGGCATATCATCAGTTTCACATTCAACAAATCGTATAACTTCCAGTAATTTTTAATTGTATATTTGTTTATGTACATGTATGTGTGTATGTCCCTGGGCGGTGCATTGCTAAGGTGCTTAGCTGCTAACCAAAAGGTTGGAGGTTCAAGTCTACCCAGAGACACCTTGATGATGTATTTCCAAAAAAATCAGCCACTGAGAACCTTATGGGCACGGTTCTATTCTGACACCCATAGGATGACCATGAATTGGAGCCAACTAGATGGCAACTGGCTTATATGTTACACATTATGTTTTATATTGTTGTTAAGTGCCATTGAGTCGGTTTCAACTCACAGCCACCCTGTATAAGGTTTCCAAGAAGCAGCTGGTGGCGTTGAACTACTGACCTTGTGGTTCACAGTCCAGTGCCGATCCTACAGTGTCACACCATAATGTGTATTATATATAATGTATGTTATATATTATATATGAATTTTTAATGTATAATAAACGTGTGTGTGTACATTAGAGAGAGGAAGAATGAGTCAAGGACATCTTTGGCAAAATTTGATCAAGTATATTAACTCTTTCTCAGAATAATATTTTTAAGTGCATAGAATATAATACACAGGTTACAAAGAAAAGTCTATTGCATTAAATTAGTTAAAAAAAGCTTTTTAAAGTGTGTGATATACTAGCATTTATGCTTCACCATACAACAAGATTTAGTGACATTAATGAGTTGGATAATTTGATGGTAGAAAAGACCATCACCAGTATTCCCAGATATCTGTGATAACGATGAAGTGATATGATCCTGTCTGTGCCTGAAAGTGACAAGTCATAGGCGCTGCTAAAACTACTGTGGTTTGTTGCCTATGTTGGTGCTTGAAGGAAATGGAATCAAAGACAGTGAAAATAAAGATGCAATTTTTCCCCATCCAAGTTCATGGACCCCGGAATTCTATTTGTAGCACTGAAGGGGTCCACAGATTCCGGGTTTGGAACTCCTGCTGTGCGAAACCTTTTATCCTGCCCTGTCAGTTCTGAATGTATTATTAACATTTCTCCATCAGTCTGTTTTCTGGGATCTGAATTTTAATCTGATTCTACTGTGTTCCAGTAAATGAATGTACTATAACATAGCTAGCCAGCCTCTGGTCTTCAACATTTAAGTAAGTGTGTGGGCAACTTGGACTATTTATAAAATGACACTCATGTTCATCCAATCAGCACACACTCACTGAAGCCAAACACATGTTGGGCACAGACTTCAGTTTCCATGTGTGCTACAAATAAAACAAGCACACTCTGCCTCCTAATATATTGTCTACTACTTGGCTCCATAATTTCCTTAGGATGCATTGGGATACATTTCTATTTTGTTTAACAAACACTTACAAAGTGCTTAATATATGCGAGCTTTCCATATATAACTCATGAAGTAAGTACAGATATGATCCCCATACAAAACAGAGGTTTCCAGAAGTTAAGTAACTTGTCCAAGGTCACACAGCTAACATGAAACTGAGGATTTAAAGCCTAAAAGTTGTGCTCAAATTTCCTGTTGTTAACCTTTACCCTATGCTATCCCCTAGAAATGGGCTCATTGGGTCAAAGGAATATATGGCCTCAAGATTTTTTGCTACCTGTGGTTGATTTGTGGAAGGTCCTCTTAGCCCAAGCATCTCTCCCTTCCTTTTCCACAACCAGGGACATACTGCTGTGGCCCAGTTCCTGTTCGTGCCATCAAGGAAGGTGACCTGAGTACCAAATACGATGCGCCGTTCGTTTTTGCCGAGGTCAATGCTGATGTGGTAGATTGGATCCAACAGGACGATGGGTCTATGCACAAATCAGTCAACCACTCCCTGGTCGTGGGGCTGAAGATCAGCACGAAGACCGTTGGCCGGGACGAGCGGGAGGACATCACTCATACCTACAAGTACCCAGAGGGTAGGCACCTGCTTGCTTAGCTCTTAACACTGCCTTGCAGATAAGCTTTGCTCTTTACCAGCCTAGCTACTCGATGGCACTGAACAACAACAACAATTCCCTGGTGTGGTACTGTGGGATAATGCACTGTAACACAAGATCGGCAGTTCAAATTCACCAGATGCTCCTCAGAAACCATATACAGGGTCACTATGGTTCGGAACCGACTCAATGGCACTCAACAACATCATACAACCACGGTTATACTCCATTGTTAACAGTTCCTTATGTTGTTGTTGTTAGGTGTCATCGAGTCGGCACTGATTCATAGCAACTCTATGCACAGCAGAACGAAACACTGCCCAATCCTGGACCTGTGGCCATGCTTGAGTCCATTGATGCCGCCACTTGGCCAATCCATCTCGTTGGGGGTCTTCCTCTTTTTCTCTGACCCTCCACCTTACCGAACATGATATCCTTCTCCAGCAACTGGTCCCTCCTGACAATATGTCCAAAGTATGAGAGACAAAGTTTGGCCATCTTGGCCTCCAAGGAGCACTCTGGCTGCACTTCTTCCAGTACATATCTATTGGGTTTTTTTGGCAGCCCATGGCACTTTCAATATTCTCCTCCAACACCATAACTCAAAAGCATCAATTCTTCTGCAAGTACAAATTTACCTAACACATTAGAAGATGATGATAAAGGATTATTTGCTTCAGAAAAGAATTGTAGATTCCACAGATGAATTTAATTTCATTTTGAAGTCTGACTTTAGAGTTGGTTGAACTCTAAATAAAACTGAAAGGAGTGACGATTATATGGGAGAGATGTGCATCTTAACAAAAAAACAACAATGTCCATTCTGTTTGTTAACACAGTACTTATTATCAGTGGAGTTCTGGCTTGGCGCTGTAGGGTAAGCACTGGACTGCTAACTGCAAGGTCGCAGTTCAACCCACCAGCTGCTCTTTGGAAACCCTATACAGGGTTACTAAGAATCAAAACCCACTTGATGGCACTTAACTACAACCACAAAAATATTTATTATCAGTAGTAGGACCTACAACTATAGATGGGAAGTTCTATGCTTTTTATTCTTTTCTTTCTTTCTTTTTTGCAATGCATTGTACTAGAGGGACCACAGGGGAGAAGTTCCCAGAACTTTGCAGGGTCTATTTTTACAGCAGTTCACAGAGAGTTCACATAGATTGTAAGCATGCAGGTGGAGGAGGGAAGGCTTAAATTAAAGAGGAACTTAAAGGCAATCTGATCAATTCCATCAGCCACGAAGATGAGGTACCTTTCTGCTATTATTTAAAATTCCCAGGGAGAAAGTAGTCTTGGTGTTTTGTTTTGTTTAATTGAATTTGAGTCCAACAGCCAGTTCAACATGATAGATGTTTAAGCATCTAGTGTGTGCCAAGCCCTGTGGGGCTCACAGAAGTGACTACAAATACATAGTTCCTGCCCTGACATTCCAGAGCTGCTGGGGGTGGGCAGTAACAGCCATACTCTAATTAGAAGAGAGGCTTCTAGAAGAGAGATACCTTTCCTGACCTCTAAAAGGTCCAAACTGCTGGTTTAATAGAAGAAATAGATAGACACCCAACAACACTGGCGATAAAATAAAAGTGGTAGTACCAAACCCAAACCACTGCCATCGAGTCAATTCTGACTCATAGCTACCCTCTAGGCAGAATGGAATTGTTCTTAGGGCTTCTGAGCCAATAAATCTTGAAAGGAGCAGACGTCTTTCTCGAACGCCTTGACTGATGGGTTTGCACTGCAGCCTTGTGGCTACCTGCCCAACACATAACCCACTGTGCCACCAGGGATCCTTAAAGGAGCATTGTGATTGTTGACTCTATGCCGTCGAGTCAGTTCTGACTCATGTCGACCCTGTATAGGGTTTCCTAGGCTATCAATCTTTATGGGAACAGAAAGCTCCATCTCTCTCCCGTGGAGTGGCTCATGGATTTGAACTGATGATCTCCCAGTTAGCAGCCCAACACTATGCCATCAGAGCTCCCTTAAAGGAGCATTGTTTTTATTGTTGTTAAGTGTTGTTGAGTTGGTTCCAACTCATAAGTACCCTGTATAGGGTTTCCAAGAAGAGGCTAATAAGTTTGAACTGCCAGCCTTGTGGTTCGCAGTCCAGTGCTGATCCTACAGCACCACACCAGAAGTACGTTAAGAGTGTTGTTGCTGTTGTTAAGTGCTGTGGTGTCAGTTCCCACCCTTAGCAACCCTGTATAGAGTTTCCGAGGAGCAGCTGGTGAGATTGAACCACCGACCATGCAGTTCAAACGGCTTTGCAGTCTGGCGCGTTAACCCCCAACGCCACACCCAGACTCCATTAGGAGCATTGTTGTTGTTAAGTGCCATCAAGTTGATTCAAACCCATAGTGACCCTCAAATAAAGGGACTATATAGGAGGGGCAGTTGTTCCTGTTGGGGAGATTGGCAGGTAGAGAAGAGGTGGGAAAGGATTTCAGGTAGAAGATTGCTGTTGTTGTTGTTAGTGCCGTCAAGTTGGTTCTGACTCATAGTGGCCCTGTATAGGGTTTCCGAGGAGCGGCTAGTGAGCTTGAGCCACCGACCTTGCTGTCCAGCACATTAACCCACAGTACCACACCAAGACTCCCAGGTAGAAGAGATCCCTATGCAAATGCTTGGAAGTGAGAAAGCTTGCCTGATTTATTTGTTTGGTAGACATGTACTAGTGCCTAGTCTGCACCAAGTACTATTGGGTACTTAGATGAGCTCTCAAGCAATTCAAGAGGGGAAGTGCATAAACAGAAAATAACCAGGGAATGAAAAACCCATGATGGGCAGACAGTACGCAGCTGTGGAAATCCAGAAGCGTGGCTCCTTCATCTTGGGGGAGAAATGGTCAGAGAAGTCTTCCTGGAGGAGGGGATATTTGGGGCTGGGTCTTGAGGTGTGTATAGGAGTTCCCTTGCAGAAAGTGAATAAAATGCTCGTTTCTCCTCCTGGCACAGAGGTGTGGAAAAGAAGGGGCCACTCTAGGGCTGTTCTGAGACTTCAGATGCTGAGAAGTCTGTTTGCTGTGTCCATTCTTTCCATTGGTCCTTTTCCAGCAGTGATGAGACTCTCTTCACTGTCCCCACAGGGTCCCCGGAGGAGAGGGAAACCTTCACAAAAGCCAACCATATGAACAAGCTGACAGAAGTGAAGAAACCAGAGACAGAGATGGCCATGCGGATCCGCGCGGGCCAGGGCATGAACATGGGCAGCGACTTTGACGTCTTTGCTCACATCTCTAACAACACCTCCGAGGACCACGCCTGCCGCCTCCTGCTCTGTGCTCGCACTGTCAGCTACAACGGAATTCTGGGTCCTGAGTGCGGCACCATGGTCCTCGATGTTGACCTGGAGCCCTTCTCCGGTAAGGCCTATGTTCTTGGGTCATTTGGTGACTGCTCTGAGCACTTACACCCACTGGCCGTCCAGTTGATGCTGACTCATAGTGACCCCTGTGACAGACTAGAACTGCTCTATAGGGGGTCTGAGACTATAAATCTTTATGGGAGAAGACAACCTCCTCTCTGTCCCAAGGAGCAGCTGGTAGGTTTGAACCACTGACCTTGTGAGGTTAGCAGCCCAATGCTTAACCTCCTACATCTCTGGGCTTCTTTGTGCACCTTACAGACACTAACAGAGTGCCTATCCTGGGTGATGACCTTTACACTTTACAAATCTCAACTCCCTCTGACCTTATAACCCAAGTGGGTGATTGATTCTGTTAGTATCCCCATTTCCAGATGAGGAAACTGAGGCACAGAGAGAGTGAGTAACTTAATCACGGTGATACAGTTAGGAAGTAACAGAACTGAGAATTGAAACTGTACTTTGAGCCACTAAACTAAGAACCTGAGAGAGAACGTGAATTTCCCAAGGACACAGAGCAGGTGAGAGGCATCTGACCCCCACCAGGACTGACTGGGAGCTGGGCATAAAACAATTGTGTTCTGGAGGGAGGAATAAAACAGAAGGAGGAGATGCTTTCCCTGACCTCTGAAGGTCTAGGCTCACTCCTCTCCTCTTCTCTCCAAGTTCTCTGAGAGAGTGAGAGTGTTGATTCACCTTTCCCTGCTGCCTAGTCTTTGCTTCGGAGTCCTGGTGTGGCGCTGTGGGTTAATGCACTGGACTACAAAGTCAAAATGGACTGCAAGGTCAGTGGTTCAAGCTCACCAGCCACTCCTCAGAAAACCCCTACAGGGTTGCTATGGGTTGGAGCTGACTTGATGGCTCTTAACAACAACAGCAAGTCTTTCCTTCAACAGCAAAGACCAGGCATCTCCTTCCTTTTCCTAGTAGGCTCTGGCTCTATCACACAGTCAGCTGTGACTATATAACAAACCCCCCAACTCAATGCCTTCATGTTATTAACATTTGTTCTGCTCACGTATAGTGGTGGTGGTTATGTGCCGTGGAGTCGGTTCCTACTCATAGCAACCCTGCACAGAGTTTCCGAGGCTGTAAATCTTTCCGGGAGCAGAAAGCCTCATCTTTCTACCATGAAACAGCCGGTAGTTTTGAACTGCTGACCCTGAGGTTAGCAGCCCGATTCGTAACTACTACACTGTCAGAGCTCCTTGCTCACATATATTACTTCTGGGCAATTCTGTAGAGATGGGCTAAGCCTGGCTGATTCAGCTAGGCACACCCATATATCTATGGACAACCAATGGTCAGCTAGGCGTGGCTGGCCTGGGGTGGCATCACTCACATCTCTGGTGCTGACTGAGGCAACCCTTCTTACTACCCAGAGTTCCATAAGAGGAAGAAGACCACAGAACAAGATCTGGGTGGCAGACAATATTATCCAGTCTCCCTGGATGGCACAGAATGCCATTCTAGGAGATAAGTTAATTACAGACACTAGAGCGTTAGGGTATTTGAGCTTAATTCTTTCTGAGAACCCCAGTTGAGAAGGGTTTGACTGGAACAGTGAGAATACCTGGGGGTCTCCTTGGTTCCTTTTACTGCCTGGCTTGGTCATCTTGTCTGGTTTTCCTCTGCAAATAAACATGAGGACCTGAAAGGAGTCATGGGTGTCTGCAGCCATGCCCCCCACCACCCAACCACATTTCCTTCAGCTTGGATCACTACAGACATGAGGAGGAGACCTGGGAGCTACAAAGAAGGGTGCTGATCATGCTGGGGGGTGCAGCATGACAAGTAGAGCATCTCCCCTGGACCCTCAGAGAGGAAGGTCCAGCTCATTGTGTAACCTGGGCAGTGGGCTGCTCCCTGAATCTCAGTGTCCCTGTCAGGCATGGGGACTGGGATCATGATCCTCCAGGGTTATCCAGAAGGTAAGAGGTTGTGCATGCTGTCAGTGCTTAATATACCGCAGCAGTAGGATCCTACGTAGAAAAGAGGCAGCACCCAGGGCAGCGGGTTCTGAGTTCACGGAGTCAGTGTGCTTTCCCCTTTCCCCTACTCAAGTCTGTGAAACCAGTAACAATGGCCTTCCTCTGTAAGGGGCGCAGCCTGCCAGCCTCTTGTTCCTAAGAAAGCTCAAAGTCTGCACATCCATGGGAACTCCTGCCAAGCCCCCCATGGGCAAAGCCACTTGGCACCAAGGATGGGGTCCAGCACTTATACTGTTGAAAGAATAGATTTAGAAGCTAGTCAGATTGTGCCTTGAACATTGGGCAAGGTGAACTGCTTCTCATCCTTAATTATTCTCACCTATAAAGGAGCTCTGGTAGCACAGTGGTTACGAATCAGGCTGCAAACCGCAAGGTCAGCAGTTCGAAACTACCAGCTGTTCCATGGGAGAGAGATGAGGCTTTCTGCTCCCGTAAAGATTTATAGCCTCGGAAACCCTGTACAGGGTCACTATGAGTCGGAACTGACTCCACAGCACATAACCACCACTATCACCACTCCAGTAAAGATCTACAGCCTCAGAAACCCTATACAGAGTGGTTATGAGTTGGAGCTGACCCCACAGCACCTAACAACAACAACATGAATGCAATAGCATTGCTCCCTGCTGGGGCTGCTGTGAGGGCTAAATGGGAGTGTGTAAAAACTCCCCATACAGTGTGGTGCCTAGTGGGTGCTCAACAAGTATCTGAGCCAAGTGCAGAGTGGTGCTGGGACAAGGTGCCCCCCCCACTCCCCCCGGCCCCAGTCTTTGCTGAGCAGAAGCACAAAACAGTGCTGGGAAGCAGAGTAGCCCTAGACAAGCACAGATGTACTGGACTCCCTGGTCCCTGAGTCCCTCGATGGCTTGGAAAGGGGCCAGGTCTCTGCTCTGTATCTAGGCTGACTCAGGACAGGGTCCATGCCTAAGATCACCACCCTCCAGGGCCTGTTTCTTTGCCATTCCAGGACTCAGATTCCCCCCTTGTACACTGGCTGCTTCGTGGCTAAGGGTCCTTCTAGCCCTTTTGTGTATATGCATGTCTGCTCCTTCTCAGGACTGTTCTGAGAGGAGGAGGCATCTTTCCTGGAATGTGAGGCACCAGGTGACCTCCAGGCCAACAGGGGCCAGGCCTCTGTTGAGTGATAGCTATGTGTCAGATATCAGTGGATTGCTCGGAGCATTGTTCTTTGGTGGCTTCAGCCAAACCTGTCAATTCTTATCATCCTGGTGGAGTGGGTCTCTCTTACTGCAAGCATCCTCGAGGGGCCCAGCCTAGGGAAAGGGAGGAGAGGGCAGAGGTCCTATGTGTTGCCCACCAACTGGAAAGTGTATCTACTCAAAAATGCCTTGTTAGGGCCTTCAGTGTCAAGTTCAATCTGAGATACACTGTTCCATGCCTTGGCTGAGTTGCTTGCTATTCTTTGGTGATAAGATCTGGGGGATTTCCATGTGTCAATGGACAGGAAGCCAGGCCCCCACCCCTGCCTCCTTGCTCTGCTGCTCTCTCCCTCTCTCTCTCTCTCAACTCCTTCACATTTCCAGGTGTCTCTCTGGGATTGCAGCCAGGGAACCTTTTCAAACAGGGCAAATTGTCTAAGGAATGTTTGAGACAGACTGCCTACAATTCCTTTTGCCAACCAGTATATGGCCCAAGGTCAAGGCCACGGTCCATGCCTGTGGATGGTGCCTCAAAGGCCCAACTCTGCCTGGACTTCAGCCTCCTGGAAAAGTCATCAGTGGGTTTCTCAGCCTCCAAGCTCCTGGACAAAGATGTTTTCCTCCTTTCCTGGGAAGGTGGTCGGAGTTTCTACTCTGCTCCCCCAGGTCTTGACACATCAACATTTGCTCTGTTCTTGTCTGCTTTGGCAGAAGCTGTGGTTTTTCTTCCCCCCTAGCACCCCCCCAACACACAATATCTAACCAGAGGCGGGGGCACATCTGCCCTGGAAAAGCTAAAGGGCTGGATGGGTTAATGGACATTTTCCCAGAGATTGGGCCGTGGACCCCAAGTCCTATCCCTTGAATGGCACAGTAAGACAGGCTCTCTCTTCTTCAAAGGTCTTAATGGAGCAAGGTACCTCAGAGAGAAAGACTCAGTGGGTGCTAATTGGTCTTTATCACCCCTGACCCTGGCTAACCTCCCTCTTAACAGTAAATACAGATCACAAGCTCAGAGCCCTCAGCAGACAATGGTATCTAGCCAGAACCGGATACCATGACTCTGCTTGTATTTATTTTTACTGGTTACCTGCGGTTAAAGATTCCTGGTTACAAAACAGTTACTGTATTTCTACGCAAGTATCACGCAGATATACGGGTTTTGCAAACTGCACACCTCATGCATGTATCCTGCGTGCACTATGCATATTATACGCACGTACCTATTATTTACATGGTTGAATTCGATGCAAAAATACAGTAAATGCTCAGCTGCTAGCCCGAAAGTTGATGATTTGAATCCACCCAGTAGCTCTGAGGGAGAAAGGCCTGGTAATCTGCATCTGTGAAAACTATAGCCTAGGAAACCCAACGGGCAAGTTCTACTCTAGCTCATGGTGTTGCTCAGAGTCAAAAATCAACTTAATGAGACCTCAGAGTAGCAACAATAGGCTCAAACCTAACGACTGTGAAGTTGGCGCAAGGCCCGATAGGGCTGCTCTGAGTCAGCACCAACTCCATGACACTTAACACCACTAACAACCTTCCATTTAGAATAAATGAGACGGATTTGCTATAAGTAACAATGAAAAGTTTTAAGGAAAAAAATTGTTTTTAAAAAATGTTGAATCAATTTAAAGAAAAAGAATGAGCAGATTACTGAGGATATACACAGAAGTCTGATACAGCATGTGAAAGGTTGAGTTTGGGAAACTCTGGTCCAATGGAGGGAGAACAGGAAGGCAGAAAACAACAGCTTTCTGTCAAAGTGCTGGCCCCTGCCTTTGCTGTGGGCTGGGCTGGGCTGGGCTGGGCTCCAGGGAGCCCAAAAAGGGTCCCAGAGGAGGCCCCAGGACAAACAGGAGTTGGGACCAGGCCTGAGGGACAGGCCCTATGGCTCTCAATCCAGTGCTCTTTTTACCTCTCCTTCATGCCTCTTATGAGCAGACTCATGGTACCCTTGGGCCTCAGCGTTCTTGTCAGAAAAATGGGACTAAAAACCACACTTCACTTCTCTGTTGGGGGTGGTACGGGGAGGGAGACTGGCCCTGCTGACTTTCTTCTCATTCCCTCCTCACTATACGGCTTTTGCTCGTAAATGACCTCTGGTCTTAGCTCTCCCAGGCAGGAACTAAATGTCTCAGGAAACAGAGAGGCCCTGCAAGTGACAGAGCAGCTGAGTGCTTACAGGCAGATGTGGTTTTTCATCTGTAAAATGGACCATCTCCCAGACCTCCTGGTCAAGGACAGGTTGTGTGCCCAGGTGAGCCCATGTTATATTATTTCACTCTGGCTCTGGGTTAGCTCAAATTTCTGAGCAGTCCAAACCCAGCTGCCTAGCCAGAAGCAATGTTCTTTCACCTACCAGAGCCTCAGTTTCCTCATCTGTAAACTGGGCAACAGGAAATGCCCAACTCTCTTAGGGTCATCCCAAAGAAGAAGTAAGAGGGTATGTGTCCAGCACAATGCCTGGTATATACCAGCTCCTCGTAACAGAGCAGAGTGGGTGCCTGCAGCCCTGTGTGTACCCCTGGCCTGTGCTCACCCCGGGCACAGCTCGGCCCTAGTCCTACAGCTCAGTTCTGTGTGTACCCTCAGCCTGTACAGAACCTGGACCTGTCAGTGATCCAATGCTCCCCTCACTGGCTCCCAGCCCTGACAGTCTGGGAGGAGGGGTGAGGTTGGGTGACGACTCAGTTATCACAGGCTCCCTCTCCCTCCCATAGAGAAGAGCATCCCTCTCCGTATCCTCTATGAGAAGTACTGCGACTGCCTGACCGAGTCCAACCTCATCAAGGTGCGAGGCCTCCTGGTCGAGCCAGCCTCCAACAGCTACCTGCTGGCCGAGAGGGACATCTACTTGGAGAATCCAGAAATCAAGATCCGGGTAAGGTGTGGCTGGGCAGGGCACGGAGCAGGGGCTGAGTCCCAGGCAGGGAGGGAGGACAGTTCCCCATGAAAGCACACAATGGCACCTCTGTACCCTCAAAACCTTTGAAGCCTCCAGTCTTCCAATCCTAGCCTCATCAGAGAAGAACATCATGAAGTCAAAAGAATTGGGGACTTGTAACCTCTCCGAGTTTACATTCTAGAATCCCAGAATGATAGAACCATGCATCCTTGGGGCAGGTGAAAGAACATTGCTCCAAAGACCCTAAAATGCTGAGCTCCTACGGCTGGACCTTAGGAATTCTAGTAGCCCTGGTGGGGTGGGGTAGGAGAGCGAGGGTTAAGGATTTAGGCAGCCCAGGCATGTACTTGAGTGGCCCCGGGTCCATTACTTTGCTTTTCTGTGCCTCAGTTTATTCATCTGTAAGATGAGGTTAATATGAGCATCTACAGTGCGGCACTGTGGGAGAAAGCACTGGACTACCAGGGAGGTTTGAGCCATAAGGTTGGTGGTTCAAACTCACCAGCCACTCCTTGGAAGCCCTGTACAGGGTTGCTATGACTCGGAACCAGCTGATAGCACTTACCACAACAGTAACACAGTGTTCTAAGGATTCAAAGTGCCTCCACAGGAAGAATCATACTAGGCATCTTCTAAGGGCTCAATAAAAATGGGATACTGTCACCATCATCATCGTCACCATCACAGCAATTTGCTTGGCGATCCACACACAGTCCCAGAACCCCAAGTGCAGCATTGCACATACATGGTAAACCGCAGAGGGAGGTAGTGAGCAAGCATTGCCTGACTGTCTGCTGTGCGTCAGACCCTGCTGGGAGCCTGCACACACTAACTCAGTGAATCCTCTCAAGGACACGTGTTCGGGCATTTCTCTCCCATGAAGAAAACAAGTGTAACAATGGCATGAGGGACAACAGCTGACCTCCTCTAACTTCACAAGGGGGAAGGGGGATCAAGATCAACAGCCCAAGGCTGATTGCTATGAGTTGAACGTCAGACAGACCGCCTCTCCCCAACCTTTTTTTTTGTTTTTTACCAGTTCTGACCCCAGCTGTCCCTCCCACTGCACGCTCTACTTCTCTGCCATAAAGAACTCACAGTTGTTGCGATTGTTGTTGACTCTGAATTGTAACCTGTTACTTCCCTAATCAACCCCATAATTGTAACCTGTTACTTTAATTTGGGGGTTTGTTAGGAAAGTAACAGGTTACAATCCAGGACCAAGAACAACTCAGGATAGAGTTCTTTGATCAGAACAGCGTCTTGGTAGCAGGTCGTAGGGAGGGCCCCCTCTACTCTGAGACTGATTCTCTCTTTTAAGCCCACATGGCAAAATTAACCAATCTCATTAATTAGAGTTCCATACACTGTATTTGCATGGTCCCAACCCCAACTAGGGTGCCATGCACCTTGTTTGCATTATTAGGAAGCTGTCTAGTCCCCTTGGTGGGCCTCACATACCTCGTTTACCTAGTTCCACCCAGTCATTTGGTGGAATTTATAAGACCATGGCAAGAAAGGCTAAATAAAAGCAATCCATCATACCCCACAGCAAGGCTCAGAGAAGGCAGTCCTTTCTCTAGAGTCACACATCAAGGGAGGAGCAGAGGCTGGTTTGGCCCCAAGCCTGTGATCTTCCCACCGCAGACCCTAGAATAAAGGAGGTACTTGGTTCACCGCTGAGCCCAGGAGCCTCCCTCAGCTCAGTGAAGGAGACCTAGGCAGGTGTCTCATCCATATTTGGCAGATGAAGTGGAAAGTTCTACTGGCAGGGCTGGGCTCTAGTCAGCAAACATTGGGCCCAACTACAGCCAAATAATTGACTCAGCCGGGCCCTGCCTCCGCCGCTCGGTGCTACTCCTGACATCTTCCCCCACACTGCTTCCAGATCCTGGGAGAGCCCAAGCAGAACCGCAAGCTGGTGGCCGAGGTGTCCCTGCGGAACCCACTCACTGTGCCCCTGTCCAGCTGTGTCTTCACTGTGGAGGGGGCCGGCCTGACCCAGGAGCAGAAGATTGTGGAGATGTAAGTGCAAGTGGAAGAGGGCAGCTGCTAATGGGGTGGGACTTCCCTTGGATGCCAACCCCTGGCCTACAACCCCCTCCTCTCCATCTCCTGTAGACATCACTGTGCATCGCTCATATTCAGACACCCATGGGGCACAGCTCCCATCTTCACTCAGCACCCATGGCACAGTAGCTGTCCCCCATGTACATGTCTCCACATAGTCAGTCACGAGCCCTCACATAACACATAACGCCCACATCCCGAATGTCCCCACAGGCACACATACATACATATGCCCTCACAGGTATGTCTACACACCAGCATATGCACTTATATTTTTACTGCCATAAAAGCATATACTAAGGAGCACACGTCGTGTGCACAATGATGACTGTGGCCACCTGGGCATTCGCAGTCTTACCCCAAATGCACCATCTGCCCCCATGTACACATGGGCACTGGCACACACACATTAGGAGGGCAGACTGCCCAGGCCCCTGAGGTGGTCAATGAGACCATTGTATCATTGTCATCGTTAGCACAGGTCTCGGTGTTCATGGGCCATCCTGGCTGCCCCCCCGTGGCCATCCTCCTCATCTCTCCATCTCTCTTACAGCCCAGAGCCTGTGGAGGCCGGGGAGGAAATCAAGGCAAGGGTAAACCTGCTGCCCCTCTATGTGGGCCGTCACAAACTGGTAGTGGACTTTGAGAGTGACAAGCTCAAGGCGGTGAAGGGCTACCGGAACGTCATCATCGGCCCCTCCTAAGGGACCCCTGTGCCAGTCCCCCTCAGCCTGCTGAAGCTCCCAACTTGATCCCAACCTTGAGCCCAAGCTAATGAGCAAATTCTACTCCCTCTTAGGCCCCAGGCCCCAGGTGTCTACTACGTGGGACTCATTGGAATGTCATGTAATTCTGGTCTGACTCACCTGCATGAGCCTGGTTCCCCTCAACTCCTTAACCATATCACCACAGTGGGACCCCTGGAGCTGTGTGGCTAGGAGAAGGGGTTGAGGTAGGAACTCACATCCCCCTGTGCATCCAGATACCAGTGGAAAACCGTTAACCATCCACCATCTAGTTTGATCTACTCCACAACTCCTGGGAGCAGGCAAAAAAATAACAATAATAAAGAGAATGTGCTCATTAGCCAGATCAAGGAACTCACTCCATTCCCAGACCCAGACTGTGTCCTGAACCTCTTCCCGAGACTATCCCCAAGGCCCAGGGGCCCTTGGGAGAGTCAATGCCAGGTGGAGGTGGGGGCAAGGACCCATCTTCCCCTCATTCCAGCAGCCCTGGCCCAACAGTCCCCTGCCAATTGCACTACTGTGAGGTGCCTACTATGTGCCAGGCACTTCTGTGCGCCACGGTGCTTAGCCGCTCACCACGGGAAAATGCAAAGCATAAACTTCAGAGATGGCCCACTCTTTGTTTGTGGTGATTTGCAAGGCTGGCTCAATTTAAGCCTGGAGATGGAGTCTGCCCAGGCCTTCTGGCTCGGAGTCTGGTGTTCTGTTCATGATGCCAGCCCTGAAGGGACTTGATCAAAAAGGCCTCATTTGGAGTGAGGAGATGGGAGTCTGTTGGAGGGGCTGAGGTCAGAGGCCTGGATTCAAGTCCCAAGTCCAGCCATGTGAGCCGGAGCCACAGCCTTTGTCTGGTTCACAGTGTCTTCATTGGACAGAGGAGTGATTGAACCAGCCAATGTCCACATTACCCAGCCTTGCAAATCACCAGGAGCCTCACACTCAGGCCCCACAAAGAAAGGTGACAGGTCCAGGTTGCTTCTGAGAGTTAAACCATGACGATGACTGCCATCCTGCCGTCAGCCCTGTCCTGGCCCCCAGCCCATGTCCTTTAGAACTTGCCTTCAGATGCCAGTTCTAGGGGGCAGCAGCCCTGGATGCCCCTGGAGCCTTCCCACCACAGTGCCTAGACTTTATACCTACAGAACTTTACTTGCCAGTGTGGGCCACTAGCCACCAATGCCAGAGCCTGGACCACTCTCTCTTTGCAGGCCCCACAAGGCCAGCCCTTGCTTCTGATAAACTTGGGGAACCCATGAGTTATCATCTTGGCTTTTCCCCCTAGCTCTTCCCACGTGATTTGGACTCCCTCTGAAGGGAAGAGGAGGGAGAATCGTATACCGGGAGAGGGGGAGGGCTCCAGGGCCCCTTAAAACCAAGGAGGGACCTGGAGAAAGCCATGTTGCTGCAGCTAGAACTTTCTGCTTTGCCCAGAGAAGAATAGCAAAATGAGCCGACATGTGTATGTCCTATAGAACTATAGCTGTATTTCCCTACAGTTTAATACGCGCTTTTGGATTTCAAGCAGGCAGTAGAGGTGCTTTCGAGCCACAAAGAGTCAGCACTGAATAAAAGAGTTTATTTTTCACATTCAGACAAGGTCTGGTCTGGTTCTTTCAGAGTTTTGAGGAGGATGGGTGGATGAGCTCTTCACATCTGAGCCCCAGCCCCTCTCCCAGGTTCAAATCCTGGCATTCAAGGCCCTACATAATCAGGCTCCACCCTCCACAAACAAACCACATTTAGGCTACACACTGTGAACATCAGTCTTTGCATCCATAGTTCCGGAGCCTCTCCTTAATATTGTCTTGCAAACTCCCACTTATCCCACCCTTAGCTGAACACCAAAGTCAGCTCTTCTGTGAAGCGTGACGCCTTCCTCAGTCTCAGGACACCCAGGCCTCCTTGGACACGGATCAAACTGAGCATTTATCACAGTGAATTTTAGTTCTGTGTGGGCATATCTGGCTCCCTCCTCACCCTACCTGAAGTCCCCAAAGGCAGGGACCAAATCTTTTTTACTCATATATGAGATCAATTACCATTAAGTGGGTTCCGACTCATGGAGATCCCATGTGTGTCAGGGCAGAACCGGGCTCCAATGGGTTTTCAGTGGCTGTGGCCTTTGGAAGTAGATCAACAGTCCTTCTCAGATGCCTCTGGGTGGACTTGAACTGCCAACTGTTGTGTTAGTAACTGAACACTTAACTCAGGGACTATCTCATATATGGATGCTAATAAGCCCACCATTTGATCCATGGGAAAACGACGAAGCAGTCTGCTTCTGTAAAGACTGACAGCCTCAGTGAGAAGTGCTTTGGTGCAGATCTACTCTGACCTATGCTGGTGGTTCTGTGCTGTGGAGTCGGTTCTGACTCATAGTGACCCTGTATCAGGTTCCCAAGGTTGTAAATCCTTACGGGAGCAGAAAGCCTCATCTTTCTCCCATGAAATGGCTGGTAGTTTCAAACTGCTGGCCTTGAGGTTAGCAGCCCAACTCATAACCAGGACTCTATAGGGTTGGAACTGACAGTAGTTGGTTTATTTTTCATTGCTTTGTTTGTTTAATCAATGACGAGCTGGTAAATTCATGTGTAACACAAGACCAGCATTGTCCAATAGAAACAGCATCTGAGTCACAATTGTGAGCTACACATGCAATAAGCTAGCTACACTAGCGTAAGATTTTCTAGTGGCCATTTTGGTAGTATAGTGGTTACAAGTCGGTTACAAGTATAACCTAATGGTCAGCAGTTCGAAACTACCAGTGGTTCCGCCAGAGAAAGATGAGGCTTTCTGCTCTTGTAAAGATTTATAGCCTCAGAAACCCTATGCAGGGTTGCTATGAGTCGGAACTGACTCCACAGCACACCACCACCACCACCACACTAAAACAGCAAAAGGAAACAGGTTAAAAACAAAAATATTTTTAAAGAAGAAACAGGCAAAACTAGTATTAACAATGTATTTTATTTAGCCCAGTGTACACAAAAAAAGAAATATGGAGTCCTAGTGTGGCACTGTAGGATAGGCACTGGACTGATAACTGAAAGATCGGGAGTTCAAACCCACCAGTCACTCTTCAGAAACCCTACACAGGAGTGCTATGATTCAGAACCGGCTCAATGACACTTAGCAACAACAACATACAAACTAGGCCATTTCAACATGCAATCGGTATAAAAATCACTGAGAGCTTTCATACTCTGATTTTCAGTCTAAGGCTTTGAAGTGCAGTGTGCACTAGCTCCATTTCAAGCGTTTGATTGTCATGGTTGATACATGGCTACTGTATATGATAGTGCGGTTCTCCACTGTAATCTCTCGAATGCAGGGACGAGATCATCTTATTTCCCACCAATGAGGCACTAACAAGAGTGGAATGAAGACATGATGGGGAACAGCGCCTGCCCTCAGGGAATGCGTGTTGAAAGACATGACAAGCATATAAAAGATAAATCAAAATAAAAATATGACATCATATTTGCTGCTTGCTGAGTCATCCTGTCCTCTGAACACTACATGCCGGTTTTGGTCCTGGTGCCTCCAGCTTTGTATCGGTTAGTGATCAGCTGGCGAACAGGATGAGGAGATTTCATATGGGAAATATTGACTCCAAACAGCAGGAGGAGGAAAAGGGGTGTCACCCGCAAACTAGACTCCCCTGGGAGTCCATGAGCCACACTCGCTACTAGCTACTGGAGATGCCACCACTGCAAAGCTGGAGGCACTGGGGCAGCTGGACTCTAAACCAGCTGAAGGTGATTTGGCCAGAGCCAGAAGCAGGCCAGCGTCCCCCATCCTCTCCCTTCCCTTTCTTCCACTGGCTGACTCCAACCAGAAACTAACTGGCAGGAGACTCCAGGAAACATCTTTTCAGGAAGGATTGGAGCTGGTGGGCCAATACCCATGCTGCTCTCTCTGCCAGAACATAACATCATCTTCATTTAGGGAACTCTTAGCCAACCTCCAAAGCCCTGCTCCAAGGACGCCTCTTCTGAGAAGCCTTCCTAGACTACAACCAACTGCTTCGGCCTCTGATTCTTCTCTATGTTCTTTCTAGCCCTCAGCAGCTCGATTAAAAACAGATGCTTGTATACATGCCTAATGTTCCAGAACACTCAGTGAGCAGAGCCAGGACAGACCTCCAGCATAGGGTCAACAAGCTGGGGTTGGTGGTGATGGTGGTTATGTGCTGTGGAGTTGGTTCTGACTCATAGCGACCCTATACAGGGTTTCTGAGGCTATAAATCTTTACGGGAACAGAAAGCCTCATCTTTTTCCCACAGAACAGCTGGTAGTTTCGAACTGCTGACCCTGAGATTAGCTGCCTGATTGGTAGGACTGCCAAATCTGTCTCCTCCTATCCACCCCCAAAGAGCAGAGGCAGTGCAGCCTCCAAGCCTGTCCCACTCCTAGGAGTCTGCTGCCCAGGAAAGGAGAATCAGCATCCCTTCTCCTTCCTGGGGTTCCTGGGCATTTTACAGACAGAGAGAAAAGGACCCTGGAACCCCGCTCTCCAAAGCAGATGTAAGTGCTGTCACCTGTCAAAGTCTGGCTCTGCTTGAAATTCGCTGTGTGGCGTCAGGCAGCTTCTCACCCTCTCTGTACCCTCACTTCCTTATCTGTCAACTGTCGATAAGATGTGCCTACTTCCATGATTGATATGTACGGTCAACAAAATGGTCCACATAAAGTCCACAGCTGGTTCCTAGTGCATCATAATAAAAGCCAGCATTTGCTGTGGGTCAGAAATCTTTATATGCACTGTTATCTATTCCTCGATGGTGTCCTGTAGGATCAGCACTGGACTGCTAACCACAAGGTTCAAACCCACTAGCTGTTCCTAGGAAACCCTATATGAGGTCAGTACGAGTCAGAATTGACTCCACTGCACACCACTATCACACCAGCAACATTTATTCCTCAGATAACCCTTTCAAGCTGTGCCCTTATTT